GCACCGTCAGCCCGCGGGCCTCCGGCTCGGTTGACGATACCGTCGGGAGCGTCTCACACGTCGGCTGGATTCAAGGGCCCCCGGGCGCCGGCGGCATATCCGCGCTCGGAAGGCGCGGCACCGGTGCAGGGCGCCCTCATCACGGGGTTAACGGCTTCGGGAACCTCCGCTGCAGCCGCCACTCCGCCGGAGAATCCCAATAAGTCGCACAAAGGTAAGACGCCTGGACTGTGGGTGAGGTGCTGGGTATGCTCTTGCGGGGTGGGAACATGGTCCTCCCAGCAGGGAGGGAAAGGCGAAGGGAATGTGCGCGTGGGTGTGCACAGACGGTCCTATGTGCGCGCGTATACGCCTTCAGGTTGGAAGGCCAGATGTTTGACGGGCTCGTTGGCCGCTCCCCGCTTCTTACACCGCCCTCAACCACCGCGTCCGCTGTACATGCTGTCTTGTTCCTTTGTAATACGTTTGGCCGACCTCCTCAAACGTGTGGCTTTTTCCTGGCAGCTTCACGAACTCACCGACCGGCGGACGGACAACCTGCCGCTCACAGCTCGCAGCACCTCCCGAAGTCCAAGACGTACACCCAGCTCCACACGGTACGCAACGTCGATAGCGCTGGGGGCCCTCAGCCAGGCGCGTTGCCAGCGCCAGCGCCAGAGACGGCGGCGAGGGGGTCGCGGCACTCCGCAAGCCAGCTGGATCTGTCACTGCTACAGACAGCAGAGGAGCGCGCTGGTGACATGGAAGGGCCAGAAGGATTTCCAACGCCTCGGGGCACGCAGCCGGGTAGCGGTGACCAATGCACTGTCGGCGGCGGCGGAGTTAGCGGTGGCGGCGCCGTCGTAGCCCGACCACGGATGGATACCGACGATGAGCTGGGCCTCATTGCGCAGGTCGAGGCGGAGGCGGTGCAATTGGGCCTGAATATTTATGCACGGGAAGGCGATGGCGCTGGCAATGGGTCACGGGACGACGGGTCGCTGAAGGTACCTGGTGCTGAAAAGGACGAGGACGGCGATGAGGAGGAGTCCTTGGAAGCGATTATGGCGATGGGTCGCCGCCCATCGGAGATCGCGGAGCTGTTGCTCGGCGGGGTGAAGGCAAGGGTGTTGCCGTCAGGGGGAACCGCCGATAGCAGCGGCGGCGGCGGCGACGGCAGCAGCGGTGGTGGCGCTGATAAGGAGGCACGGCGTCGGCGAAAACAGGACGAGAAGGAGCGGAAGCGCGCGCTGCGGCGAGAGCAGAAACGGCAGCAGCGGCGGCGAAGACGCGCTCTGATGGGTCTCGATCCCGACAGCGAAAACGACAATCACAGCAGCGGCGAGTCGGAGTCCTCGTCAGCGTCGCCCGCATCGTCTTCTTCCGGCAGTCGCAGCAGCAAGGTCCGACAAATTCGCAGCCCGGATAGCGGACACGGAGGCGAAATTCGTACTGCGGACAGCCGTGCTCTGCTGTTACTCAGCGCCGCTGCCATATCGCCACCCGACGCCGCGGAGGTGCGCACCGGCAGTGAGGACCTCGGCGGCGCCGCCGCCGCTGCCGCCACTAATCCACAGAACCTGGACGACGACCTGGGGGGGGAGGGAGGCCGTATTCTCACGTCCGCCGGTGCGGCGGCGGCCTTGGGCTTGGAGCTGCTGTTTGCGCAACCGCAGGACATGTCTGCACAACGGAGCGAAAGCCGCGCGGAGCGCGATGCCTCTGGGTTTGTACCTGGTTATCTTCTGGATACACCACCGCCAGAGCCGCGTACCTCCGACGGCATGGTTTTCCAACCACGGCCCGGCAGTGACTACGCGCCCAGCCTTGCACCCACCATCGCAACCTCGGAAGACTCTGCAACACCGCCCAGAACGGCGGATGGCGGCGAGCGGCCGCGGCCTCCGCCGCGACCACAGCAGCAACAGTCGTCAGGGAATGGCCGCAGTAGCAGTAGAGAGATCGGCGGCGGTGAGGCCTCGAGCCGGGCGGCAGCAGCGGGGGCCGTCACGGGCTTCGTGTACGACGATGACGACGAAAATTTTTTGGCGGCGCGGGACGAGCGCAGCCGCAAGATTGCGGAGCAGCTGGCGGCGCTACAGGAGGAGAGCCGGCAGCTACAGCAGCAGAGCTTGCTGTTGCAGGAGCGAACGCGGGAAATCAGCCGTTGTGTGGGTCTACCCACGCCCCCGCACCTGCCCGCCGCCGCCAATACTAGCGGACGCACATCTTCACCCAACGCGCACAAGGCGCGCGCCCCTGCTCCTGCACTTGGCGTCAACGAGCTGGCAGCGCCAATGCCGGCACAGACAACGTCAACGGTAACAAACACCACCGACGCGGCGGCGGCGGGTGAGAGAACCGCATTGGCGGCAACGGACCTGCAGCAGCTCCGGAACCCCTTACCGTTCTCGGACAGACCTGCGGCAGAATCCCCGGCTCCGGTAGAGTCTCGTTCTGGCAGTGGCCTCAATACCTCGAGCGCAGGACCATCGCCTTCCAGGCAGCAGCAAGCGCCAATCAGCTGGGCGTTGCCGAACCGGAATGCCAAGCCCCCAGTCGGGGCCACTGGCGCGGTGGCATCCTCACCGGTCCGGGCGTTCCCTATGCCGCCCAAAGGAGCCCGTCGCCTGCACGACGCACAGGTACACGCCCAGGGGCTAGCTCAGCTGCAGGTACAGCGCATAGGCAGCTCTTCTAGCTTGGAGGACTCACTCCTGCCGCGGTGGGCAGAGCAAGTGGAATCGCCCGTGGTGACGCCCGACAGCCGCCGCCATAAGCTACACCCGCAGCCCGTATTTCCGCCTGTCCCGACGAGGTCCCCTGCCGGCCCCGGTGACGGCAGGGCGGACGGGCCACCGCCGCAGCCGCTTCTTCAGCATGTCTTGCCCAAGGGCCGGCTCGGCGGGATTCCGGCTGCGCCTGCAGTGCAGGCTGCGGGCTCTGGAAGGGGCCTACTGCATGTCAAGAGTAGACTAGGTGCTGCAGCTGCGGCGCCCGGAGCACAACCGCAGGGCCCCACGTCCTCTCAGCCAAGGGCATCGGGCCCGAAGCTCCAGCACCCGCAGGTGCACCATAGCCCCGGAGCTTTACAACAGGCACAGGACATGTCGTCGCTGGCGGTGGCGCCGTTGGGAGTCCCCCAGGCTCCATACCAGTCCATGCTGTCAACAATGCAGCCGCCGCTGATGCCGGTGGAATGGGCACAAGCTGCGGCCCCGCTAGGATTTTCACCACAAGCGCCTGCCATGCCGGGTATATCCCCGGGACCTGGTGTGGCCATGCCGCCATTCCAAGGAATGTTGCCATCGCCTGCAGCTGTTCAATCGCCGTATGCGTCCCCTGCGGCTGCCGTGTTGACACCTGTGCAAGTGCCGGCGGCCAAGCGAGTGGCAGGAAGTAAGGGGCCAACCCGCCTGGCTAAGCCGCCGAAAGTCCCGACTGCTCTGAATGGCGGCGTGAGTCCCGGAGCCGGGGCTGGGAATGGTGTTGCAGCAGCCGGCGGCAGCAGCAACGGCGTCGGCTTGGCGATGCCCCCGCCACCGTGGTTGCTGGGCGCTGGGGCGGGGATGCCCATGGGGCTCCCGGGTGTGGTGCCGATGCCGCAGTTCGGTGAGTTGAAGGGGTGTGTCTTCGCATCCACCTGACTAAGTCGAGTCGGGCCCACACTCACACACTCTTACCTGACCTGTGTGTGTGTGTGCTACATGGTCGTGAGGTGCACTCACATTCTTTACCTGACCTGACTGGATGGTTTTTGTCTCGTTATTTCCCCCTCCAGGCGGAATGCTGGAGCAGATGGGGCCGGTCGGCCCGTGGATGGCCTTGCCGCCAGGTCTATTACCTCCCGTTGTGGCCGCGGCTGGTTCAGCTATGGGCAACAGCCCTAAAGCCGGCGGCATCACCCCGGCCGCCTTGAAATTTGCAGGCAGGAAGGAGCGCAGTGCGAGCCCTGGTCAGGGGCGAAGCCACGGTTCTGCTGGTGCTGCTGCCCCTGCTTTAGAAGAACGGGCCTACCCGGGGCCAAATGGTCTGATGGCGCCTTCTGGATTCCTAGGTTACATTACCGGTGTACCAGGAAGCATGATGGTACCCTTGGTGCCGGGTGGCGTCGTACCTGCAGATGGTATTCCTAGTGGCATTGGTATTCCTAGTGGCGGTGGCTTCCCCAAATCGAATGCCTCTGCGGCGCCAGTACAGCCCGAGCGCATGCTCCCGCCCGTTAAAATGCAGGCCGGAAAAGGCAAAATGAGTCGGAGCGCACCTCCTGGTTCGTATGTGGTAGCGGCGGGCAGCGCCGGAGCAAACGCACACACATCTAGCAGTGCTGGGGCAGTTGCTGAAGAGCACCTGCCTGGATTTGAAGGAGCAGGGCCTGCCTTTCCGATAGCAGCTTGGCCAGCATCCACCGTAGCCCCTCAATTGTACGGCGTAATCCCTGGCCCAGTTCCTGGCCAGTATGTAATCAGTAGCGGGGGAATTGAAGCGCCCGGGAGCGCCAGTCCAGGGGCTGCCGCCATGGTGCAGCGTGCGAATGAAGTGCAGCAGCAACAGATGGAGCGGTATCGGGAGCTGGAGGGTAATCTTGCAATTAAGTTGGATAGACAATTGCAGCAGGCGGCAGCCCAAGAAGGGAAGGTCCGTGACTTGAGAAGAAACTCACACGATGGCCGCCCCGTGTTTCGGCTGTTTTGACGACGGTGGAGATTTGTGGTTGCACGGGACTTGTTGTATGGAAAATGATTGATTGCGAGTGGGCGAGTGGTTCCAATCCTGTGAGGTTATGTAGCATACATACAGCGCGACGGCGTTCACTGTGAGGATCGGCGGGATCTGCGCCGGAGACAAGGCCGACCAGAACTACACCCTCATGTGTAACGGGACCCGCTTACTGCAGGATCCAATCTGCCAAAATCCACAAGGTCGAACGGACATGGTGGTGTTGAAAAACACCGATTTTGTGGTGGTACGCAAAAGTACCCAGAGCAAACGGAGTGTCGGGAAAGTTGCAGCTCGGGCGCTTACTTCTTGCCCTTGGACTTGGCTTCCTTAGCCTTCGGCGTGGACTTCTTGGCGGGTGCCTTCTTAGGGGCAGCCTTCTTGGATGGAGTTGCCTTCTTGGGCTTGGCGTCCTTCTTCGCGGGAGACTTCGGCGCAGCCTTGGGCTTGGGGGTGGCCTTCTTTTTGCCGGCGGACTTAGGGGTGGCAGCCTTCTTGGGCTTCTCAGCCTTCGGCGTCGCCTTCTTCTTCTCGACCTTCTCCTTCTTCTCCTTCTTAGGCCTCTCAACCTTCTCCTTAGGAGCCTGTGGGATGGGAGGCGGGGCAGACGGGGCCGGTGTTGGCGCGGAAGAAAAAACACAGCATAAGGCGTGTCAAACCCGCGCAATGACGGCTAACTCATGGCATTGTCCCCGACCCCGAAACACTGTCGCCCCTCGAAATATAAATTCACACCTCTTACGAAACTGACCTTAGTCTTCTTGACGGCCTCCGCCTTCTTTGGCTTAGCCTCGCTCTTCTTCGGCTTGGCCTCACCGTCAGCCTTGGCCTTCTTGGGAGTGCTCTTCTTGGCCTTGGCCTTAAGCGCCTGTGTAGGTTGATGTGCAGTGCCGCATCGTTAATGACCCCGCCGTACGGCATTTTCAATACATCGAAGAAAGTCGCATAGCGACAGCCTTTCCCAACTGCTATGGCCGCCCACCTCGCTCAGCTTGAAGGAGCCCTTAACCTTGACCAGCTTGCCGCCCTTGACGAAAGTCTTGACCACCTGGCTCAACGTCTTAGCAAAGTTCTTGTCATGGATATCCTTGCCATACTTGTTCTCGATGAACTTCTTCAGGGCAGGAAGCGACGAGCCGTTACGCTCCTTGAGCGTGGTGATAGCGTCCTTGACCATCTGCAGGGCCATCAGAAAGGAGAGCGCCGTCAGCAATTAGGAGACGCATCTCAAGTTTATGCAATATACTTAGGTTATCTGGACGGCAAGCTCAGAGTGAGGGTCCTTGGGTCAAGCGTCTCACCTCAATGTAGGGCGGGTGGGTCGGTGCGGCCTTCGGCTTCTTCTCCTTCGGAGCCTTGGGCTCCTTTGGAGCCTTAGGAGCCTTGGGCTGCTTTGGTGCCTTGGCCTTGGGGGCCTTGGCCTTGGGGGCCTCCGCGGCAGGGGCTGCCTCAGCAGCCGGGGCGACGACGGGAGCAGCCTCGGTCTCCGACATTCTCGCGCAGTCAAAAAGTATAGTCAAGTAGTTGGTATTGAAAAGTTAGTAAACAACAGTTCCGTTGGGCAAGTCGTAATATGAAAAGTCTATATAGGATTTGCACAACCAGGTCGTTGACCATGAAGGTGGTTGGCCCGCTGATCCCCGTACAGTCGGGCCGTTGAGCGCTGACCCGAACACATAACAGCACAGGCTGCTGAACTCTGAGCTACATGGTGAGGCAACATTGTAAAATCTGAGGCGAAGTCAACCTATGTCTTAATATACATGGTCCTCAAGAGTCCTTAAGAGCGTTCGCACGTCGCAAGTTGGCGACGCGTCTCCATGCCAAGCGTAGAGTAGACTTTCAGTAGCATATGTTTATTTTTTTGGTAAAAGTATAAGATATTTTAACTGAGCATTGGTTTGTGGGCTCGTGCAAATGGTTTGAACCAATCGTAACGCAGATTTTGTATGGCCAATTGAGGCTGAGTTTTGTTCCCAATTCTGGGCCTCATGATTTACGAGTAAATTATTGTCCGAAAACAACTAAATCGGGAAATGCATGGCAGCAAGGGACAATGGCGGGATCTTCCCTGCAAATTCAGCAGAGCGTGACGCGTTCGGGGTCTCCGGGGCTATTAACAGCTTCGCGCAGGGTAGGGCATCAACGACAACCCCTATCAGGTTTCGGGACATCTCGGGAAAAAAGTAGTGGTAAAGCCCACGGTTTTTATACATCCAAAGCAGGCACGGGTGTGGCAACACACCGTATAATCCAGGCCATAAAAAATAATTGCTGTCATTACCTTTCTAGCCCAGGATACGTCGTCTTGCACGTTCTGCTGAGCGTTACGGAGCCAGACTCTCCGAAACCATGGCCTGGCGCTTTCCCAGCGTGGCTGGTAGTTTGTATCATTTAACACAAGCGCTTATGTTCCGCTACTAAAAATTTCTACAAGGATTTATCTATGGGTGATAATTGCCGAAATGGCAGAAGCAGCATGTCGCGAGGCGATGCTCCCATGCCGCTGCTCCGCAATCGCATGTGTTATCGCGGCGTTCCTCCTGTGCTCCAGCCAAGCAAAACAATCAAATACTAAGAGAATTTTCCAAATTCGCCGGCAACCCATCGCACTTAACAACGATGCGGTGTGGAGCATGGGCTGCCTCAAAGTGGGTCACACCTGCCGCGAACAGCATGTACACCCGCAGCCTCTCCTACGACGGCCTTCCTCCCTCTCTTCGGGACAGTCGCGTCATCGCTTTGGATTCGTACGGCAGTTCGTGCTTTGCATTTTGCACATGGTTCCTACCTACCACCCTTCCTAGTCCCGCACTCGTCCCTGCTCACCATCCAGGTGCACGTCACGCCCGTCCTCATCGCCCCTCGCATCCCCACACCACATCACAACCTCTTACCACAGCCTCACGGTGCCTCATTTACAACCCATTCCTGCGCCCCTTCCATGATTGACACACACCCCTTGTCACGATCCAGAGCTTCAAAACCCTTCCCCACACGACACCACATCCCCCGCCAAAACCAAGCCACTTCCCTCCTCGGCATAACACTAGAAACCCCCCTAACGGCCCCTCCCACCACTCCCTCAGTTTGGGGTGCCGTGCCCCTGCCGTCCCTCCTCCTCCTCCTCATCATCATCATCATCCCAATCCCCACATGCCGTACATGCAAACCCACCTGCCGCACTTCCGACTCCCATCCCACTCTCACTCGCTCAGGAGTCCTGGTTCACACAGCGGCTAGACCACTTCCACCACCACCCGGGGGGGAATGACACCACATTCCAGCAGCGCTACTTCCTGTGCGACAAGTTCTGGTCACGAGGACCCGGAGGGAGCCGCGGACCCATTTTCTTTTACGGTACGGCACCTGGGATACAGTCCCCCTCATCACCGCTGCTATATATAAATGCAGCTGGTGCTGCTGCTGCTGCTGCTGCTGCTGCCGTGGCGGCAACAGCAGTAGCAGCAGCAGCAGGAGAGGTGGCGGCTGAGGTAGTGTCTGTACTCTGTACTCATGAGTCATGACTGCCGGCAGCAGCTCCCCCCTGGGCAGTAGCGGCACAGCGCCCGTCCCCCTTCCTTCCCCTCCTCTCCAGTGCCCTTCAAGACCAGGTCCAGGCGCTCTCACCGCACCCCTGTCAACCCCGCCTGCCACCTGCTCTTACAGAAACCCCCAAGAAGTCATTTCCGAAGAGTTCCCCTCACGATGAAACAAAGCATCAGCATTTCCTTCCCTCCCTTTGGCATCTCCAATCTCGGTGATTCCCTGGACCGGTCGCCTCCTTTGTTGCTCCCTAGTTGCTTTGGGCCTCTCCGTTGCTCGGCGCGTGTTTCCCCCTAGTAGTACCTCAACGCTGGACCGCCCTGTACAGGCCCGTGGATGGACACGAGCAGCTGCTGCTTGCTTTGCCTGCACATCTTTCCCATCCCCCCACACCTCCCCCACACACCCCTCTCCCCTCCTCCGCCCTTCATCCGCTCCGCCTTTCCGCAGCCGGCAACGAAGCCGACGTGACGCTGTACGTCAACGCCACAGGGCTTATTTGGGAGCATGCTGAGGAGTTCGGGGCGCTAGTGCTGTTTGCTGAGGTACGGCACCGGACGCATTCCCGGAGGGTCAGACGTACAGAACCGCCGCAAGGTACCCTTGGGGTGGCAGCGGGGCAGCGGGCCAAAAGCGGAACAAAGGGGGAGAGGGGTTGTGACGGGGCGGGACATATTGCCTGCCGGAGCGTGCGGTGCGCGTCCCCAGACTTCCACCCCCTTTTCCGCCTCCTTCCAGCCCCCCGGCCGAGCTGCCCTCTTCCAACCCTCTCTGGTCCCGCCTCCCTCCTCCTCCCCATACGCCTTCTCCCTCCTCAGCATCGCTATTACGGCAAGACGCAGCCGCTCGGTGAGGCAGGGGGGGGGCGAGGGGCGGTCCCATGGGGCGAGCTGGCAATGGAGGGGCGGGGCGGGGATTGTGCGTGTGTGTGCGTGTATGTGTGCGTGCGTGTGTGCGTGTGTGTATATGTGTGTGTGTGTGAACGTTACACGTATCTGACCGGGCCTGACACTGGCCAGGGACTGCTGCCCAGCCCCAACGGAAAGTGTGGCAGTTGGTACGGTGTGTGGGACCCGACGTGACGCTGGCGGATGCGGATGGGAGGGTTTCTATACACCCTGCCGTACTTCCTTCCGTATGTGGGTCCATGTTTGTCACTGCTGATCCTACACTCCACCCCACCCACCCCACCCCACACAGGCCCGGACAGCTGGTCCTCCGACCCCACCTACCTCTCGGTGGAGCAAGCCCTCGCGGACTACTCGGTTCTGATTTGGAACATCACAAGAACCACCGGGGGAGAGGACAGGTGTGCGTACATGTGTATGTACGTGTGTATGTACATGTGTATGTACATCCCGATGTTGGGTCCTGGGAAGGGAAGGAGAGGGGAGCGAGCGGGGCCCGGGGCCGGATGAGGCGGGTACGCTCGTGGGGCCGCGCCCCTCATCCCGGCCAGCTTGGGGGGTGGGGGGAAGAGGTGTTCGGGCTATGAGGGGGCTTGGCTCCCCCCCCTACCCCCCTTGCGGGGTGCTCATACCCCTGACTCCGCCTGCCCTACCTCCTCCGCGCAGCGGGGACCACAGCCCCGTCATCGCCTTCGGCGGCTCGTACGGCGGCATGCTCGCGGCCTGGCTCCGGCTCAAGTACCCGCATCTGGTGACGGGGGCGGTGGCGGCGTCGGCGCCCGTGGGGGCGTTCCCTGGAGTGCCGGGGTGGCAGCCGTCCAAGTTCTGGGAAGTGAGTAGTCAGCAGTAGTGTTAGTCAGCAGTTAAGATATGCCGTACATGTGTACTGAGGGCGATTATTGCCCTGAACAGAAGTCGTGTGTGTATGTATGTATGTATGTATGTGTATGTGTATGTATGTATGTATGTATGTATGTATGTGTGTATGTACGGTGGCCACTAGGACGTCGCTTCCCCCCTGTGTAAGACGGATCGCCTTTGTTCTGGATGTATTCAAGGATGGCCCGGGATGGCCAACTCCTCTCCTAACTGACTAACTGAATACCAACTGTCAAGCCGCCCTCTTCTCCGCGCCTCCCGTCCGCACCTCCCTCAGCTATTGACCTGAGCCGAGGGAGGTGAGGAGGACTCAGGAAAGTGAGCAGGTACTCGGTGCACTGCTGTGGGGCAGCGGGGCCTCATCGATAGGGAACCCTTCAGCAGTCGGAGGCATTGGCCCTGTCGGCGGATCCACCCCCCCCCTTCCTTTACATCATCATATGGTTCTTCCCCACCTCAACTAACCCAACCAACCCCAACCCCAACCGTCAGGTGGTGACGTACGACGCCACCGCGTCGGCGGGCGCCGTGCCTGAGTGCTCGTCCAACGTACGCGCCGCGTTCGGCCACGTGATGGCGCTGGGCCGTACAGCGACGGGACGAGCGGCGCTGGGCCGGCTTCTGCGGCTGTGCAAACCCATCGAAGACGAGGACGCGGCGGTCGGCGTGGCCTACTGGCTGCAGGTACTTCGTACTTGTGCGATAAGTATGAGGCGCGCCTGTGTGTGTTTTTGTGTGCGTGTGTTTGTGTGTGTTTTTGTTTTTTTTTCAAATTATGGGTAACCCCATTATGGCGGCGGGGGTGTGTACGTCATGATCTAGTCTCGTACCAGAGGGCCGGTAAGGTGGGGCAGGGCCCGGGACGGGGAGGGAACCACGGAGCGGCTGGTGCTGCAGGGGTGTGCGTGTGCGTGTGTGTGTGCGTGTGTGCTTTGGGTGTGTGTCACGGCATATCTGTATGTTTTAGGAAAGGACTTGGAGTTCGTGGAACCCGAAACCCCCGTACGAATCCCCACCACCACACGGCTCCCCCTCCCCCTCCCCCTCCTCCTTTCCCCCAAGGGCGCCTTCGACGCTTTCGCCATGGGCAACTACCCGTATCCCTCATCGTACATCAGCGATGACCCCGCCCACCCGCTCCCCGCCTGGCCCATGAGGGCGGCGTGCACCCGGCTAGCAGGCAGGGGGCTGCGAGCCAGCGACCTTGTAGAGGTGCGGACAGAAGGAGACCGCGGCGCGGCGAGGGAGGGAAATTGGGGAGGGACCCGCAGCGAGCTGGGTGACGGGGTAAAGGATGAGTGCGGGGTGAAGTGTACACGTACAGCGGGACTGGGGAGGGAAACTGAATTTTCGAAAAATAAGACTTGTAGCAAAAAGTGACAAGGTGAGGACGTGCATTTCTGGCAGAATGATGCGGTATGTGTGCACGCGTGTGTGTTTCGCCGCGCACCTCAGGCCCTGCGCGACGCGGCGGGAGTGTTGTACAACGTCACGGGCCGGGTGCAGTGCTACACTGTGGAGACGTCGGGTCCAGCGGCCGGTAACAGAGGTGGGATGCGGCTCCCTCTCTCACTCTGTGTGTGTGTGTGTGTGTGTCTCTGTCTCTCTGGGTATTGTTGTGGAGTCGGAGATCCGGAAGAGGGCGGGCCTTGTGGAGGAGGGGTGCTCCCCATCTGCACAGTACCCGGTCCTACTGCCTACCTGCCTGCCTACCTGCCTACCTGCCTGCCTACCTGCCTACCTGCCTGCCTACCTACCTACCTACCTACCTACCTGCCAGTCCCATGTCCTGTTCTCAACTGCTCATGCCCTCATATGTAAATATACCTGGCACCAGCACCCAACTCACAGCCGACCGCATCCCCCTCGACCTCCGAAGTTTGAGCTGCAGGTCCCGTTAGTTGAGGGCTGTGGCCGGGGCTATTGGGTTGGCTTAGCGGTTGGTACGCGTTCCGAACTCCCAGTCGGACAGCCGTCAGCAGCCGCAGCGGTCTATCTAAGCATATATGTGGAGCCTGAAGCTAGCCTGACAACAAGCCCACCAGAGTGTACACGAGCGGCCTATAACTAGACCATCCAACATACCATCCAACTACATAAAGGCGCGCGCGGCGGTAGCACCTGGCTCTGGCTCTGGCTCTGGGACCTGTGCCATGATGCCCATGCCCTCCCTCCCCTCAGCTGACTGTGGGGCGCTAATTGGGTTGGTTAGGTGGGTTAGTTGGATGGTTGGTTGTTTCCTAACCAAACCCTTGGTTAAGCACTCCTCTCGGTTGCCCGGGTATCACCTCCGCCCGTCTCCCCTTTCCGGCCAGTCCTCTGGCGTCCCCCTCCCCTATTACCTTCTTTCCCCTATTATATTACCTTTCTTTCTCCCTTCTTTCCCTCCCCCCCACCTCCCACCCCCCGGGTGCGCACAGGACCCTGGGATTACCAATGGTGCACTGAGCTGATGGCGCAGGTATACGGAAGTTGCAGCGCACTCGTACGGCGCCAAACCATCTGCACATTGACGGAGGTCTAAGTGCTAGATCGTATTCTTTGCGCTGTTTTTTACACATATTTCCACACGTTAGCCGTGGCCGTACTTGCAGGAGCTGCCGTACTACCCGACTAACGGTATCAGTGACATGTTCTGGGACCAGGTGAGGCGAAGCCCCTCTTCCCACTTCCCTCTTCCCCGCAAGACAGGCGCTGACTGAGGGGTGCTGTTCGCTTGGATAATGGCTTGGGCTGCCCGCCTGCCCTCCTTCCCATATTCGGTCCTCACGGCCCTTGTACTTGGTAGCTAACTGCTAACAGCCCTACATGCAGATGACACAACCGCTGGGGGGTTGGCCAATTGAGACCAAGTCGGTTACTTTGTTGACCATGGGTTAGTTGGTCAGTTAGTTGGTTGATTGCGTGCAGGGCCCGTTTGACCTGGAAGCCATCAACCAGCACTGCGAAGCCATGTGGGGAGTCCGGCCGCGGCCCTTTTGGTCAGCCATCACGTACGGCGGGTTGGACTACCGGTATGCTAGTAACATCGTGTTTTCGAACGGTGCGTGCTGCTCTTCCCTCTTCTGCCCCTTCTTACCCGTCTATCTTTGGTATCTGCTTCATTCGCCAGTGGTTCGTGTTAACCCCCTCACCCCCGTCTGTCCAGTGTCCACATGTATTAATAACCCCACATGGCTTGCCCACGTTTTTTCTCTACCGAGCGCTACAGAGTGGTTGGCTTGTGGGCCATTTTTGCATTTACATTTGAATGTGAAAATCTGAGAGACATGAAAGAACCGAAATGAGAATGCGGAGGAGGGCAAAGTGCTGAAGTAAAGCGAGAGCACGGGAAGATGGTGGTGGGGAGGAGTGGAATTAAATAGGGCAGGCAAGGCTGAGGGCCAAAACTGTGGAACCGCTGAATGCCGCTACCAGAGTGCGATTTGTCGTCGTCTTCAACCAGCGGCGCTGCACGAATATTCCTTCTATCCCGTATTCCGCAGGCCTTTACGACCCGTGGAGTGCGTACGGCGTGCTGACCGACATCAGCGACAGCGTGGTCGCCGTCATCATTCCTGAGGTACGACGGCGTGTGAGCGTGAGGTACGCGAGCCGTACGGAGGATGTCACGCACAGAGTACGTAGGTCCCGTGGGCTGGCCCTCCCACGTAGCTCCCCCCGCCCCCTATAAGCCCCTGACTGCCCTTTCCTGCACACCGCCGCCGCACCTGATACCTCCGGGCCGGCCACTCCAGCCGGCAGCGTGCTGCACCTTGAGCCGGAACCCACTCACTTCCCGCCACATAAAAACGCGGATCTTCATCGCTAAGCTTCCCGCGAAACACGGTCCCACCGCTACACATCGTCCACATCGGACTCGCACGAGCAAACTTCCTTCCGCGCTGCCTACTCATCCTCATATATATACATATATATACATATATGTATATATATATGGCGGATTATGGCGGAATATGGCGGAATATATGTATATGTATATATGTTATCTGATCCATGTTCCGCCATACATAATATATTATATGTCATTTGATCCATATTTCGGACTGTCGTCCGCCCGGGCCCTTGAGCTCTCTCATGGCTGTCGAGACATGGGCCCCTAGGTTAGGGGGTTGGGGGGTAATGCAGCTCTCCAGAAGATGTTGAAACACACACACGCACACACACACACACGCACACACGCACACACGCACACACGCACACACACACGCACACATGCACACCCGTCTCCGTCGGCCGCTTATAACCTTGTCACTACAATAACGCCCACCGGGATGTTGATTTCTTTATTTATCTGCATGCCCCCTCCACCTGTGGTCTCAGAACGATTCGTGTTCCGTGTACGCCGCACCCGGGCCCCCCCCCCTTCCTCCCGGCAGGGCGCCCACCATCTGGACCTCATGTACTCTCACCCCTCTGACCCGCCAAGTGTTAGGGCTGCGCGACAGATCGAGATGGATTACGTGCGCAACTGGGTCACACAGTTTGCAGAGATGCGACGACGTCAGCGACATGGCGATATGGCCGGGCAAGGCAGCGGCAACGGAGTTGAGGCGGCGGGGGTTGCGACGGTTGCGGCCTCCTAGGCGGCGGGCTATGTTCTCTCTGAAAATGGGGCGGTGGGGATTTGGACGGCTGGTGGTATGATTTCGGCGGGCAGCAGCAGCGAGGCCGGAGCGGGCTTTGGATGTAAGTAGGGTGAAGAGCATGTTGCGAAACTTGCTGATGGAGTCGCGCATTTTGCCCGTTGCGCAGTTTGCTGAACGGCCGGCTCTGCGTTGAAAGGGAAGTGTCGAAAGGGTGGGCTGAGTAGCGGGTGCTGGTTTGAGGAGGTTAGTGGGTGTGCGGGCTTCTTGTAGAGGAGAGAGCATCCGCATTCCGCAGGAAGCCGCGAACATGAGGGCAACCCGTTTACGTGCGCAGACGGTGAAAAGAACCTGATGCGGGCTTAGCGGGCGGCTTACGAGGAAGGAACGGCCGCGAGATCGACTGGACAGTCCAGCCATGGTAACAGGATGCATACAGTAATCAGAACTAATACATGACTTTCTCAACTTTCAAAGTTTCCGTAACAGCAACCTCCAGCTCCTGAAACTTTTGACGTGCTATCCAGCCATCTCTCAATACAGCTCTCGATGTCAATACAATGTTCATCATTAAAACTTGTGTGCAGAGGCCATACATCGAACCTGCAGATATCCAATCTGCCACAAGACACACAAGACATCTTGCAGTCCGTGAATCCGGCAAATGTTGCTTGTAACACGCACGTTTCCTTCCCTCACCTACCACCACCGCAGAACCTAACCTCCCCCAGCATGATGTCCCCGGAACCAGAGCACCCTCCAACCCTACGATCCGCGCCGCAACTTCAGAGCCTCTGTTCCAACCGACGCGTCGAATCTGTTCTTGGACGGGGCTGCGGCGGCCGGCAGAATCTCGGTGGCCGCCACACGCCGGCGCTGCAGCACTCTGAGCAGCAGCCCACAGCGCACCTCCAAGTAGGGCTGCTGACGCCGGCGGCCGTCATCGCCGCTCTGCGTGTCCAGGCTCTCGCTGGTGCCCTCCCCGCTGCTCATGTCCAGCCAGCCAGGCCCTAGAGAGGAGCCATGGGACGAGGATGACCCGTGGGTCGCGGAGTCGTCCTGCAGACGTGGCGCGGCGCGGGAGGGGACGGGTGGGGCATGGGGACGGGGCGAGCAGGGTTGGGTCGTGGTGGCGGCGTTGTGCAGGTTAACCAATTGAGGCCATAGTAGGGAGGCAGGTAGGGTGATGGTTCAAGATGGTGTGTTTTTTAAAATTATTAACGTGATGACTATCACCTCCCGGAAAGTCGACATGATCCGTGCGCCTTTTTCCGCTGCTCCCCCCCCCGGGTGCCGTAATACACTCGCAACCCGGCGGCAGCAGCACGTCTTACGAGGGCTCAGCGCTCCCCCCGCCACGCTCCCTCAGCAACGATACACGCCCGATATATCCCCCCCATGTGTATTTCCACCTTGACCAGTAATGTACAGGTCACATCTCGGTAGCCAAGTGCCAGGGCGGCAGCCACCGCGGCTTCCATCCCGAGGGGCCGCTTGCCAGCCGCCATCGCCGTCGGCGCCGGCGGCAGCACCGACGGCGGCGGCTGTGCTCCCGGACCTGGCTGCCCTGCTAGCAGCACCGGCGGCGGCTCCTGCGACGAGCTGGCGTCCGCACCCGGCGCCAGGCGCCCGGCCGCGCCAGCGGCATCACGAGGCGAGCGGGCCGAATTTCCGCCTGCGCAGCCAACGTCCACTCTGGCTTCCCTCTTAGCTATAGTAGCAGCAGCAGCACTAGCAGGAGCAGCACTAGCAGCCGTCACTGCCGACTGTCCACGAGTGAGCTCCATTTCACGACCGGCGGCCGTGGTGGCTCCGCCGTCCTCTCCGCCGGCAGCGGCAGCCGTAGCGGCGGCGGTAGCGGCGAAAACGCTTCCGCACGTCGGGTCGATGCCCCGCAGTAGCAGCCCGCACTCCACCTCCTGGTACCCCAGACATCGCAGGCAGCACAAGCCATCCGAGTCGTCGTCGCTATTGCCATTCCCGCCGCCGCCATCACGGGCGCCGCCGCCGTTGCCGCCGTGACCGTATCCTTCCCTGGAGCTGCGACGAGTGGGTACGGCAGCGGCGCGCGGTTGCAGGGGATGCCGTTCCGCTGCACCGCGTCCGCCGCCATTGCTCCCCGCGCCGCCGCCAGCACCGCCGCCGCCAACCCTGGCGCCATCTGCTTCCCGTGTCGTGGTAACCGCGGCTCCAGGATTTCCTTCCTCGCGGTTGGCGTCGCATTCCAGGCAGTCCATATCCGCTTCAGCTGCGCCCGGTGGTTGCGTCGGCGTCTGCATGAGGGGAGCAAAAGCGGGGGGGGGGGGAAGAGGCGTCCTGGAAATGGAAGTACATGACAGCCTTATGGGCGGCGGCGGAGGTACCGTCATCTCAGCGAGAGGTAATAACGGGTAACGCACGATATCGTACGAAGCAATGAAGCAGGGTACAAAGGAACACGCAGGTGCAGGTTCATGGTCGCGCGCTCGTTTCTGCTCAAGACACCTACAGCCACACCACACATCACGCGACCCCCAGCAACGGTGAGAGGGCCGGCCGCGGCCTGGGCCATCGTAGGCACGATAACACACACATACGTACAACATACGTACAAACATACGTACAAACATACGTACAAACATACGTACAAACATTCGTACAAACATACGTACATACGTACACGAACGCACCTGATGCAGCTCCAGTTCCCGCAGCAGCAGGCAGCAATGGAGGGCCTGCGGTGCGGACAGATCAACCTTCAAAATCATCATATCCAGGAAAAGGGCCGTTCAGATGGCGGTTATGGCGAATCAGGGACGTCGTGAAAAAGGTGGTTGGGGAGATAAGGAGGCATGGCTCAAAAACAAAAACGTTTCGAGGGGTTGGGAAGCGCCCGCTAACAGTTGTCGAGGGGGAAACCACCTATTAAGTCACGCGCCTGGGTGGCCCTAGTGGCCTCTTTCCCCCGCTCCCCGCTCCCCGCTCCCCCATCCCCCGCTCCCCCGCTCCCCCTTCCCCCCATCCCCCGCTCCCCCGCTCCCCCATCCCCCACTCCCCCTTCCCCCGCTCCCCCCATCCCCCGCTCCCCCGCTCCCCCTTCCCCCCATCCCCCGCTCCCCCGCTCCCCCATCCCCCACTCCCCCTTCCCCCGCTCCCCCCATCCCCCGCTCCCCCTTCCCCCCATCCCCCGCTCCCCCGCTCCCCCATCCCCCACTCCCCCTTCCCCCCATCCCCCGCTCCCCCGCTCCCCCTTCCCCCGCTCATTACATGCACGGGGTAAGACGAACCACTGGCGAATGAAGCTGATGGGGTGTGTTAGACTGCCTCCTGCCAGCTCTAGTCCATAAAATCCTAAAATTAAATAAAAACCCGAAATTTAAAAATTCAAAAAACACGGAAGGCAATATCCCACATATGCAACAACGTTTAGAACCCGCATATGCACAATCACCTTAAGACCCTCCAGCGGACCCGGCGGCAGCTCCCGAAGCTGTAGCAAGGACAAGTTGGCGGAGGGGGCAGCTGTAGTACTCGAGCCTGCAGTTGCATGGCCCGGACTGGGGGCAGTAGCGGTGGCGCCACCGCCGTTGGTGGCGGTGCTGCTGCTGCGATGATGGCGCCGTGCTGACGGCGCGGATGTGCCGTTATTCAAATTATCCATGCCAGCGGCGGCGGGGGATGCCGTACGCCCTTGCGAAGCCCCTCTTGCGACCTGAGGCCGACCGAGGCTGTTCACGGACGCGACCAACAGCTCCACTTCGACCTCTTCATAACCCGCGGGCAGCTCCGCCGTCGCTGCCTCCGCCTCCGCCGGAGCAGCAGCAGCAGTAGCAGCAGCGCCGTGTCCACCGGCTGTACTGAGTGATTCACGCTGTAGCCAGCCGCCGCCGACAGCAGCGGCTATGGCGTCGGCGGTGACCCCAGCTGAGGTCGCCGCCTCCGCAGCTTCCGCTGCTGCTTCCCTGTCCTTGTCCCCGTCCATGTGGAGCGGAATGGGTGTCGGCAAGATGCTGTAGCTGCCGCCGCCGGCGGGAAGCTGCACCGATTTTGTCGCCCTCGCCCTACGGGGTACCGACGAAACGCCGCCGCCGCCGCCGCCACTGACGCGGCCATCCAAGCTGCGGCGGCCGCCGCCGCCTCCGCCACCGCCTCCGCCGAAGCCGAAGCCTGCGGTATCCGACTCTGCAGCCGTACTGGCGACGCCGCTGAGCATCTGACCGGCTGTAGCACACAGCGGATCTGTGATCGTGTTGCCCGTGTGAACGCCGCTTTGCTGCGGCTCGAGGTAACAGCCCGTGAAGGAGGGGACGTCCGTGTCTCCGGCGAAGGCCGCCGACATGGCGTCGGAGCAGGGCCTGTCTTGCGTACGGCCGCTGCCGCTGCCGCTACCGCAGTGACTGACGACAGCGGCGGCACTGGTGGCACTGTGAGGAAGGATGCCGTACATCGCAGCGCCAGCGGCGGCGGCGGCGGCGGCGGTGCTGCTGCTGCCAGTAGCTGGTTCAGAGGGCTGGCGGGGAGGGCATGGCGGTGGCGGCGGCGCGAGAGACAGCGGCGGCGGCGGCGAAACTGCGGGACTCATATCCGCAGCGGTGATAGCCTTCTTCGTGCAGGCACGCTGCGGGTCGGTGCATCCGCCAGCGGCGGCAGCCTTACCGGCGGCGGCGCTGCCGTACGGTCGAGGCAGCAGGGCACTGGCGGGCGTCTTCCAGGCTCTGCAAGGGGGTAGCGGTCTTATGAGTACCGTACAGACACGTCGGGAGTACCCCTCCGGCCATTTCTCCTCGTCGCCGCTGCCATAAACATTATTCGTACTGAATGGACTGCCGTACGGATTGACCGCCGCATCCTCCTCGCCACCCTCGCGCAATGGATCCTCGTCACCGTCGACGCTGCCCCCATGTGGGCTCAGGCGCCCGCCGGTGTACGGCAAAGTTACGCGGTTGGTGGCCTGGGACGGCCTACGTGACGGTGGCGTCAGCGCTGGCGGCGGCGTGACTGCTTTTTCTGCTGCTGCTACTGACGTGTCCGCATGCGTCGTTGCGGCAGCGGCACCTTTGTCAGGATCAGCACTTGCCGTCGGGAGAAAGCCAGGTCCATTAATGGGCCGTACAGCTGACGCAACAACCAGCGACGACGCCGACGGTGGTGAACCTGTCCACGGGAAACCGGCGTTGACGCCCGTGTGTCCGACAGCGCCGTCGTCGTCGGCGGCGTCGCCGCCGCCGCCGCCACCAAAATCACCGCCGCCGTCGGCTATAGCCTGCTGTAGCACCTCGCCGCACGCCGCCAGCCCCGCGGCCTCGCAATGCCCTAAAAGATCGGTCGCAAGGTCCAGCCACCACGCCTCCGCCTCCGCCGCCATTTCCCCCCCCGCCATCGTCGCCGCCGTCGCTGCCGCCACTGCCACCGAGCCAGCCCGCAGCTCCCCTGCCGCCGCTAGCACATAGCCAAAGTCCGCCACTAGCGGCTGCAAGTGCTGCGACCACACTTGGCCGCGAGTCAGTACCCCCCTAGATGCAGCCGCGGCCGGCGCATCCCCCTCCGTGTCCACGATACCGCCGCCAGCAGGTTGTACGGCAGTGGTGGCAGGGTCGTGTTGCGCCGCTTCCGACAGGATCTGCCTGATGTGGTTCTCCAGCTCCGCCGCCGCTTGCTGTGGCAGCAGTAGCAGCTCGGTGCTACCCGCCAACAGAGAGGGCGAGGTGACCTCAGTGACCCGTGGGTCATCAAGAGGAGACCTAAGCAGCCACAGGTGCAAGGGTCCGGGTGGCAAGCCGGCGAGGCTCCAGGCAGGGATGGTTAGGCTGGAAGGGGGAAGAAGGGGGAGGGGAGGGAAGGGAGCTTGTTCGCGGACGCGTATAGTTGGCACGTATATCCTCCCCACCGTGCACTCCTCAACGTTTTCCCAACTTACTCGATGTACGGCCGCCGTCCTCGCATGCCGTACACTTCATCCAGCAGCACCCGCTCCTCTGCCGCCGCCACTATCCGCAGCGCCGCCGGGCCCTCCTCGCCGCCTCCGCCGCCATCGCCACCGCCAGCGGCGGCAGTGTTGTACAGCAACTCTAGCCGCACGTGAACCATGTCCCCGTCCTCGCCGCCGTCATCCGCTGCATCCGGCGCCGGCGTGCCCAGAACGGCGGGCTCGGGAATGGCGGCGGTGATGACGGCAGACGGCTCCGCCAAGGCAGTCGCCTCCGTCACCTCCCGCCAGCCGTGAGGTAGCAGGGTCGCAAACCCGCCGCCGCCGCCGCCGCCGCTCCCACCGCGAGCGGGACTTGGCATCTCCGTCGGGCCCGCTGGGGCCTGCCCACTGGCGACGTGGTTAGGAGCTGCGGTCAGCTGCGCCGCCGCCGCCGCCCCCACGGACTGGAGCGACGGAGCTGGACGCCCGACGGTGGCGGCGGCGGCAGCGTCTGCCTGGACTTCTGGACAGGTCGTGAAGGCCCGTCGGAGGGTGGGCTCAGTTCCTGTTCCTGTTCCGGTTGGGGTGGGCAAAGACACCCGCAGTGGCTCACCGGGCGCACCCGCATACCCTCAGGTAGAGAGAATCAGAGAGACAGCGAGAGAGGGGGTGAGAGAGAGAGACAGCGAGAGAGGGGGTGAGAGAGAGACAGGGAGAGAGGGGGTGAGAGAGAGAGACAGGGAGAGAGGGGGTGAGAGAGAGAGACAGCGAGAGAGGGGGTGAGAGAGACAGGGAGAGAGGGGGTGAGAGAAGGCATATCCCCATGTTGCCCATGTTGCCCCACATGATCCATATCCCCCATGGCGTTGCTGCTTGCAAACCCTTCCTCCCTCCCCCGTCCAGATCCCACCAGCCACGGCTGGCATCTATTTCAATTTTTCGTGTTCATTTTTTGTTATGCGAGAGACCCAGATCCAGATTCGGGAGATGTAGATCCAAGTCAGCATCCGGATCCATAACAAGATGCGGGTCCAGTCAAGGTCTGGATCCCGCCCCCCCCCCG